CTACCTCAACAGTGGCTGGCTTGAAGTGCCATGGGGAGATGGTGATTTAGGTATGATATAGAACTTTACAAAACTACGCATATTTTAAATCATAAATGTTTTCGCTAGAGCAATGTGATATTTACAAAACAGCACAGGCTCTCACCCTGTAAATTATATACCAGATGTCTGGGAACTAGTGTTTCTAAATATAGGCCAAGTCACCTCCTGTGTAGCTACAGAGCCGTAGCAGTAGGCATTTGATTAACGTGATGAAAGTTGCAGATAATTTGTAAAACAATTTCACAGTGAATAATTTATCCTGAAGAGTTAAATTGGATATTTTTTATAAGAAAGGGCTTTTGTTTCTTTTATCCTAGATACTCTATTCCAGTCTAACACAATTGTAAATCTACTAAACAGTTATACATAGAGAGATTTATATTTTTTTGATCTTGGTAAAGCTTATTAATCTGATATAAAGCCACATCTCTATTGAAAGGTAAGATATTTATTATTGCACATATGTGAATAGAAACCTGTAGTTGCTAAATTTCAGATTTTGAAGGGGAGACACAGGTTAGGTTGAAAACTTAACTTCAAAACAGAACTTGGAAAATGACCAAGTATATTTTGATTCTCATATTACCAGATTACAGAAATTATTTGAAGGAATTACAAAGAAGCAAAATGAGGTGAGATTGCTTGGGAGTTGAACAAGCAGAATTCAAAGCAAAAGGTTTTCTTCATTGGGTGGCAGAGATGCTGTATAAATTATTCCTTTCATGATTGATATGGCTTTATTTCTTATTATTTCAGAAAGAAAAGATGTATTTTGGCCTCTGTGTGACCGTTTGCAAAATGATCATTTTCCTTTTCTTTCTCTCTCTGCCCCTCTGAAACACTGGCAAGTAATGCAAAAATTGTTCAGAAGGCTAATACAATCATTTTGAAGAACAAACACATTAGAATGCAAAGGCGGAGAGCTGGCTGGGAGGAATACCAAGTAGCCCTCGGCTGCAAATATTGCTAGCTTTGTTGTCCCTTAAAGGTCTTCATAATATACTGAAGAAATGGATCCAAAATGAATCAAAAAGTCCATTTCTGTCGGCTTCTGCCAATGCCTACCTCTGGCTAATTATCATGTTAGCTGGTGACAGTGAAATAACAGCAGTGACAATAACTCAGCGTTGTATATTCAGCATATAGTTTTTAGAGATAAAGGTGATAAACTTTATTAAATCATTATGCAGGAAGGGAAAACCTGATCATTACAAATGTTGCAAGTGATTACTTAATTTAAAACATATATTTAAGCATTGTTTATTTAAATTTTTATTAATTTGCTATTGCTGATTAAACTGAGCCTAGTGGTTTCTCAAATTTAATATATTTGGAAAATTAATACTATAATTCTCATTTTTTTGCTTAAATATTCACAATGAAAATGGATATATATTCTATAGTTCTTTAGATTTTCTCTCTGAAATCAAGATTCTTAATGATAAAATAAATGTGCATGATATGTAAACATCAGATTTCATCTTAGAAGCTGGAACTCAAAACATGGTCATTCCCCCAAAGAACATTATTTATGATGATGTATTTTACATTTTACTTAGTGAGAACATAATATTCCAATTTTTATAGATTATTTATTTGCCCCCAAATTTCATCCTGTGAACACATATTTATTTAATGCTGTGCATGATTATAATTCTGCTTTGAATATAAGACAGCACTGTTGTACACAGCAAATAAAAAATATACAAAAACTAATACTAATTCCTATTGTAACTCAAGACTCAAGTCAGTGTCTGGCTTACTAATTTTTCTAGATAAGCAAGTAATCATGCTAGGCGGACACTTTAAAATATGTATCTAATTATAAACAGAAAAAATATAATTCAGTATTCCTTTGAGACTTATAGTATGTTAAGTTTTACACTTTAGTCAAATTTTACACTTATTTTGGGACTTAAGATAAACATGTGTATGAAACTCTGTGGGAAACTCAATTATCACTTCACTGATTGAATTGAGGCTCTCATAATGCAATCATTTCTCATAGATCTTCTAGCATTGTCTCAAACATGAGCTCTTGGGGGACACCTCACATCCAAACCATAACAGTATTCTTTTGTTTTTATTTAGTCAGATTATCCATGAAGAAACTAGCTCTGAAGCTGTTACTGCAAAGGTTGCCAATAGCACTTTAAGGTATTTCCAGAACATTTTTACCCATTGCATGAGGAACCCTTTCTGAACAAGATTAAAGTCTCTAGATGATAATAGCTATAGTTTCAGTATCTTTTGAAGGAGAAAATGCATCACAATCAGAAACCTGTCACAGGTATTAGTTTCATTAATCGCATACACTTGAAAACTATAATCCAGCAGGGTACAGTGATGTGTTCCTGTAGTCCCAGCTAATTGGGAGGCTGAATAGGGATATTAATAGCACCTAGGAGTTCAAGGTCAGCCTGGACAACACAACCAGATATTGTTAAAAAAAAAAAAAGAAGAAAAAGAGTAATAATCTAAATACATTCAGAACAACTTCAAGTCTGCAAGTCTGTCAGGGAAGGCAGGTCATTTTATGCTTGTGCCTTATCCTTCGATTGGGTCTCTCTGACCCACATATAACCATGAGATAAAGACAAGCCTAATGGCTGAAGACAATTTTCTTATATGCACTCCAGAATTTTCAGAATGATAAGAAAACTAAGGTTATTTTAAAATTAAGCTTTAAAGTATTTGAGGCTAAAGGAAGAATTCAAACATTGTCAAATAATCACTCTGGAAACCTGAAAGAACTCAGAGAAGAGACACTCCATAACTCAGATCCTTAGATGTGTGTGATAAGACTGAAAAGTATTCAGCTATGTTTCTACTCAGTGCATCAGCAGATTTTTGAAGATCTTTTTCATTCTTAACAGAGAAAGTTTTACGCATTGTAAATTATACTTAATCAATATGATTCATACTAGTTTTCTGGCATTTGCAAAACCCTAAAAATTGAGTCCTACTCCTTCTAGACCCAAGTTCCCAGGAATTCACTGTCACCAAGTTACTGGCTGAGCCTTCTACTTCTGGTTTCTGTGTATCACCATTGTTTCAGGAAGACCTTGGAGGCAGCTAATTACTTTCCTTACAGTAAATCACTCTGCATAAGCCCACAGACAAACAATGTCCAGATCAGTGAGCAGGGTTTTGGCTAGGATTATCAGCTGTGTGCTTAGAATATGTGGACTTCTATATTACTGCATGTTTTTCTCGATTTTATTTCCTCGACTTTAAAATAGAAGTAGTAATTTATGTACCTCAAATCATTGTGAGAACTAAATGAGATACTACACATAGTGATTTTACTGTGTATAGAATTTACTTGTGCATAGGGTTTAGTCTATGCACACAGTAAATGCTATTCAACATTAGCTATTATGATCATTACTGGTAAATCAATGGTAAGACGTTGTACTCTACCTCCTCTCCCTTAGGATTTGTATTTCTAGTAAAATCCTACAGTATCATTAGACGTAAAAAGATTGGTGATTGGCAATTAACTTCTGTTCTCTGCACCAAGCTCACTTGGTGGCTGCATTTACCTTGTGATATGTGCCCTGCATTTTATTTAATAAAATTAATTTAAGTATCACCTACAGTGTGGTGGCAAAGCTCTGCGGTAAGACTATAATATAGAATCATAGGAGGAATCATGTGTAGATTGTTTCAAAGCACAGAAAGGTGGGGATAGGAGACAGTTTCTAGAATAAGTACAGTATTCTACTGCAGCTGTGTTTCCAATAATTTGCTTAGCCTATTTAAACAAACATTAGAAATGCTTTTCATAAAACTAATATTTCTGAGTACCAGTTAAGAGAATCTATTTATTGTGCTGGAATCAATCAGCAGTTAAAAATATTTTAATTTATTGCATCCTGTGGATTTAAAAAGGGAGGAAACGAGGTAGTAGACAAGAAGGCAGATACCAACCATAACCATCTTATGTTGGGACAACTTTCTCTCTAGCTAATGTTGCTTTATTAGCCAGTAGTATCCTTTGAGTGAAATTTGTTTCTGGCGTGCATAACCTGCTCATTTAATCACATCAAAACCTCTAATATTATTTCTTATGTCTAGTAAATCGAACCAACGGTGCTGGTCTTGTTTAAATTACAGTGAATTCACTGTGCACCAACTTGACATATTAAAAAAAAAAAAAAAAAAAAAAAAAAACTGTGCAGCCGCAGTGTGAGGGAAATGGGAGTGGAGGCTATGTCTTTGGGTAGTGGCTGACTGCCAAAAAGTACTGGGGTAAAGGAAAGGTGGCTTTCTCACGTGAAGAGACCGAAGGTGCAAAAAAACATGTAAGTCAAAAATTTGGGAGCTCATGATGAGTGAGTGTGGTATCACCAAAGCGTGGGGTGGAGGGGTCATCCACACCTGGCACATGGAGAGTCATGTTCTCCACTATCAACACCATTTCAAATGCGGTGGCCCTGTGTCCCTCCCAGCCTGTGAGCTCTCTCTTTAGGGCCCACCTTGACTGTTCCATTATTTCATACTTGGGGCTCAGTCATTTGCCTCCTTGGCAACATATTGTGTACCTCAGGGGCATGGCAGGTGGGGAGTGCGGGGAAGTGAATATTTTAGCTGCTGTCATTGGTAAATTAAATAATAAATAAACAAATAAATCTGGTTCTGTCTGAAAAATCATGATATAGAGGTTATTTTTTTGGGTGACCAACATAGTATCTTAATCATTGTCCTCTTTGGAAGTCAACTCAATAGGTGCAGTTGAGTCTGAGGTAGGTCAATTGCAGAACCTGCATTATAAGTAGATTTGCAAACTACTTATTTGGATACTTCTGGTAAAAATCAAATTTCCTACCAGGTAGGATAAGTATCCGGGTCACCTTGTGGAATGCTGAATGTGAATAATTTATGACACAGGAATTGATTGAGCCTATTAGGCTTTGCTTTGACTCACTAATTTTGGTTTTCTTTCTTTTTGACAGGTTCCTGGGCAGATCGATCACCACTACATGAAGCTGCAAGTCAAGGTCGTCTTCTTGCTCTGAGAACATTATTATCACAGGTAAAATATTACATATAGCTTAGACACGCCCCCTTCCCATCAGCATAGAACACTGTGAAAACAAATCAATTCAAAACTACTAAAATTGCTTAAATTTACTACCTTTATAACTTGTGTCAGGCTAGTCAATAGTTTCTCATTTATCTTTGAAATTACTTTACAAATATTTTGGTATAATCCTTTGTTTTGGCATTTTAAATTTCTCATACAGTATATGTTTGTTCATTGATAGAAATTTAAGCAAAAAATAATTGTATGTATTATTAATTATTCTTTTTTTGGGGGAGGTACTGGGGGTTGAACTGAGGAGCACTCGAGCACTGAGCCACATCCCAGCACTACTGTGTATTTTATTTAGAAATTTGGTCTCAATGAATTGCTTAGCACCTCACTTTTGCTGGGGCTGGCTTTGAACTTGCAATCCTCCTACCTCAGCCTCCTGGGAATACAAGCTTGCACCACTGCGCCCAGCTATTTATTTATTTATTTATTTTTAATATTTATTTTTTAGTTATAGGCAGACACGATATCTTTTTTTTTACTTTTATGTGGTGCTGAGAATCACATGCCAAGCGAGTGCTCTATCTCTGAGCCACAACCCCAGCTCCCGCTATTTATTAATTATTCTAAATATGCTTACCTCTGTCTAATGTGTGTAGCTAATTGGAGACTTGGTCACATAATAACCACAAAGGGTGATTAGACTAGATTCTGAATCAATCTTTTTGTGACATGGTATTCTAATGTGGGGAGTGGTCTACGGAGGCACAGAATGCTCATTTCTACACCTGCCTGCTCATCAGACTCCCCAGAGGAAAAGTGAAAAACATATTCCTTCTTGAAACAGAGTATGTGGCATGGGCCTGTGCATTTATTTTTTAAGATTCCATTCAGATTTAAATATACACCCGGTTCTAGGAGTCACTGTACTAGTGTTTCCCAGTATCAAAGGACAAGGAATGGTCGAGAAAGGAAGAGTCCCATGGCCCAGTTTAAATGGCACTGCCTGGGGCTCAGGAGACCTGCATTCTGGGCTGGCACTAGGGCTAACCCACCGTCTGTCCGAGCTCCATTTTCACATCTGCAAAATGAAGATATGCATGAGATGCTCCCTTGGTGCCAACCAGTTCTGTGACAACCATGTGACTATTTTGTTTTGCTTATCACTTGATGAGGGGGAAAAAATGCCCTATCAAAAGGTCAGTAATTCCAAATGGCAATCCCTCAGAGTGTCACGCGGTTCTCTGAGAAGAGGGCAGTCCTAAGGTATTTCTCAACGTGTATCTCCTATCCACAGGCAGGCCAGCCAAGAAGAGAGAGAGGCTGCCCCAGAGCACCATGTGGAAGGGAACCTCCACCTTCTCAATTGCTTGTGTCATCTGGCCACTCTACAGCAGTCTAGGGCAGCCCTCCAAATCTGCTGGCTAGCAACTTGAAATCTTTGCAGGGATAATTAAAGGATCTTAAAAATTCCCACTCACTAATGACAAAGATTTGGTGTTATTCTCTATGTGTGCCTTCATTTTATGATGCTTTGTGTCCATTCTGGTATTAAAGATTAGTAATCTCTAGTTATAGAATATTGGCAATCTGTAATATGTTAGGAGTATTTGTCTTGAAATTCTTCCATAAATAGTAGTGCTTAGTATTAGTATCAATAGATATTGAATTACTTAGTGACATCAAGATTGCAAAGGATCTCATGCCCTAATATTTAACTATTTTAGTCTTATAATGTAGGTTTAATTGAGCTAAAATTAAAAAGTACTTAGTATTGACTGAAAAATAAATTCTAATATTTAAAATAAATAATAAAATCTAATATTTCCTATACACTGGGTGCTATAATAATAATTGCTTTACAAACATCACCTCATTTTTGTGTGTTTGTGTGTAGGGGGTATACCAGGGATTGAACTCAGGGACACTCGACTACTGAGCCACATCCCCAGCCCTATTTTGTATTTTATTTAGAGACAGGGTCTTACTGAGTTGCTTAGCACCTTGCTGTTGCCAAGTCTGGCTTTGAACCTGAGATCCTCCTACCTCAGGCTCCCTAGCCACTGGGATTACAGGCTTGCACCACTGTGCCCAGAGGCATTACCTCATTTAATTCTCATGATAACCCTAAACTTGAAAAGATAAGGTATTTGTCCAAATTGCAAAGTTACTGCTTAATGGAGCTAGGTTTTAAACTGTCTAACTGGCTTTATAGTGACAGTTCTTAATCCTAGTCTGTATTTTAGCCATATCTTTCTAGTGATAGAAATTTAGAAAGCAGTTTATTAAATTTTAAAGTATTTTTCTCCCTGGTCTGGACTGACGTATAATTTTATAGCCCTAATCAAAAGAAGTGATCCTTTGGGCTGAGGAATGTGGCTCAAGCGGTAGTGCGCTCGCCTGGTATGCATGGGGCCCGGGTACAATGCCACATACAAACAAAGATGTTATGTCCACCGAAAACTAAAAATAAATATTAAAAGAAAATTCTCTTTCTCTCTTAAAAAAAAAGAAGTGATCCAGCTTATCAATAGTCTTTAATTTCACACACACAAAAATCCAAACAAAATAAAAACCACCCCCAAAACAGTTAAGAAAGCAAAATTTTAAAAAATACCAGAATCTGTTGAACAAAATGCTTAAGGTATTATTATCTCAAGGCATGATGATACTACAACATTGTGGCTAAGAAGATTTAAAAAAAATTTTTAATTATACATATTTATGGGCTACAGTGTGATAATTCAACATATGTATACAGTATATAATAAGCAAATAAGGGTAGTGTTTTCATTTCCTTAAATATTTTAAATAATTTCTGAATAACAATAATCATGCATATTTATGGAGTACAGTGTGAAATTTTAATTCATGCATATACTGTATACTGATTAGATCAGGAGTAATTAATATTCCATCTCTTTATCATTACTCTATATTTGGAAACTTCCTGCTCCAAAGGAAATGAAATCAGCATATCAAAGAAATGTCTACACTTTCATGTTTATTGCAGCACTTTTCACAGTAGCAAAGATACAGAATCAACCTAGAAGCCTATTAATAAATGAATGGAGAAAGAAGATGTGGTACATTGGGATATTATTGGATTATAAAAAGAATGATATCTTGTCAGTTGTAATAGAATGGAGAGACTGGAGGATATTATATATTAAGAGAAATAAGTCAGACACAGAAAGACAAATACTGCATGTAAAAAAGCTAAACCTTCAATCTGAATGTGGAATAATGATTATAGAGACAGAAAAGCTTAGGGAGAGGGAAAATAGAGGGAGATTGTATAACAGGCACAGAACATAGGTGAGTTCTAGTGCTCTAGATGACAGTGGAGTGACTTTAGTTCACAATCCCTGTAATTCACATCATGAATAACTAGAAGAGAACAGCTAAGGCGTTTTGGCAACTGATTGACTCCATGGCATTCAAATTGGCCATGCCTATTAAACCGGAAAATGATTTGCATGAGATTCTTTGATATTTAAAATGTAGCATTTTCTAATGACATGTAGGGAGATGATTTTTCTACAACTCTTTGCTCACCTTTCAAAATTGTTTGCCATGCCTAGGGTTATAATGTGAATGCAGTCACTATAGACCACGTCACCCCATTACACGAAGCCTGCCTGGGAGATCACGTGGCCTGTGCCAGAGCTCTTCTGGAAGCTGGAGCTAATGTAAGCATTTTGCTTTTCTGTCATTCTTTCTGAGTAGTTTCAAAAATAATAGAATAAAAATAAAGCCCTTGAATTGCGTTTTCCTTCTCATTTCACTCTCAAAAGGACTTCCAACAATCCTATGAATGAGTGGCATGCGGCATAATAATATAGAATATTCTTTAGGTTATTTTCTGCTTTCATGCCTCTAGAGGATTATCTTCAGTCCTCTAACAATGGCTCATCTTTTGAATAATTTTACTCAGATAAGTTCTCAGAAATAGAATGACCAATTTTACCATTTTAAACAACCACCAGTAAAGTGGCTTCCGCCCAACTTTCATCAACATTACATTTTTTTCTTCATTTGTTTCCCTCACTGAAATTTACCTAATCATTGAATTCGTTTTTGTTCAATAATTGAGATTTTTTTTCATGCTTTTCACTAGTTGTACATCTATTCCTGGGAACTCTCTGCCATATTGTATTTCTATTTATTTACCTCTTGAAGTATTAAAGCGTTCTTATCAATCTACAAGAACTAAATATCCTTTGTCATATTTACAGCACACAGATTCCCAGTTACTTTGGTTAGCAATCACATAACTTGAAAATGCATAACTCAGTCAGTCATGTATGATTCATAAATCTTATTCTTAGGTTTTGGGTTTGATTTAGGTAAATGCAATCACAATAGATGGTGTGACTCCGTTATTCAATGCATGCTCGCAAGGCAGTGCCAGCTGTACAGAACTTCTTTTGGAATATGGTGCGAAGGCCCAGCTGGAGTCCTGTCTTCCATCTCCCACACATGAGGCTGCCAGTAAAGGTAACTTAGTTAGGGGATAAAGTCAAAAGGGAAGAGAGTTCTTTGACATTCAGTGTTCCATTTACCATTTAGTAAATTAAATTTTAGGGACGCATGGGTTGAGGTGCACGTGTGTTGGAGAGTAGTGAAAGCTAAAGTAAACTCATCTCTGCTTTGTGTTGGCAGGTCACCATGAATGTCTCGACATACTGATATCCTGGGGCGTAGATGTTGACCAAGATGTTCCTCATTTGGGAACTCCTCTCTATGTAGCTTGCATGTCACAGCAATTCCATTGCATCTGGAGACTTCTTTATGCCGGTACTTTTCTTTAAAACATTTTCCATTCTGTTCCTTACGTAAGCATTTATTTTCCTAGCTAAGCATCTTTAAAAATTATATCTCATTGCTAATAACATTTTCATTGCAAACATTCTCCCTTATAAGTCCCTTATAAGTATATAACTAATAAAAGAACCTCACGCTTGATGAGAATACTTTGAAGCTCACAGATTAATATGCTATCTATATTTTACACACACAGCATTAACTGACATTTGAGTATGTAATGGAGCCTGAAAGCCCTCCTTATAAAAGATCATAAAATTAAGATCCTCAAGGTTTAATATAATGTTGTTGAGTAAGTATATATCTGTGAATAAATCCATGAAAAGAAATTTTAGGGATAGTAACTGCTTGGATGGCCTTATATTCTACCAACCATAAAAACTCACACATTTTTCCCTGACTCTTTGTTTTGTTCTGTTTACTCCAAAAGAATTAATACTCTTTTCTACTTATGTGAAATGACACAAGGTTCAGTTGTAGCCCTCTGAGAAACATTCCTATTCTGTTGAGACCATAGTGATCTCTACCACGAAAAGGACTAGGAGCTCCATTAGGATGTGGATTATGTCCCCTCCCCCATCATCTATCTAGCAGGGTCCCTCTCATGTGGTAGATGCTTAGAATATACCAAAAAAAAAAAAAAAAAAAAACCTAAATGGATTTATTTCTTGCTACTATTGTTTATGATAGTCATTTGATCTCCTAAATACATTCAGAAATATTTTAATAATAAATCTTTTATATATTACTCACATTATCTTAGCTTATTTATAAATATCTTACAAGCTGAGTCAGCTTCTACTATTTTATTCTCATTACACCTAGAATCTTAAACACGACTTTTGTTAATGATAGTTGGCAGACTGTTATTTTCTAGCCATGTTCTCCCATAAATTTGGTATAACCATTGGACTTGTGCTTTAATAATAAAACACCCCTGTTTTTTTTTTTTTTGGCTAGGAACATTTTATAATGGGCTTAAAAATATCAAGAAAGTGCTGTTAGTAATTGTTGATTGATTATTATTATCTCATATGATTGTTATAACCAAGAGTCTGTTTTCTCTATAGAAATTTTACTATGGCATGTAATTTTTCCCACTAAATGTTTTATATTTGCTTTAAAAAATACTGAAATTTTAAAATAGCAGAAGGACCATAAAAAACTCTGAAAATTTACTGTTTCCTATGTACATCATTAATTTTTCAAACAGCTTCAGAAAACAGAGTTGAAAAGAACTTACGCATTTTTACTGGTAGACATTTCCTGGTGTTGTAACCATTTATGTACCAGAAAATGGGATTATAATATTAGAATTTTAAACATCACGTATTTATTGTACATGCATTAAATGATCACCATATGCCAGGCTCTACACCAGAATATAATAATTATGCAATAGATAATTTCACATTTTAGGGTTGGGTTTTTTAGTGTGAGTATTTTTTTAAAAAATTACTTTGCATGCGATATCATTGATGTGCTTTCCCACTTGAGAGGCTTGGTGTCTTCATATATTTATTGATTAAATCTTTGTGAGTGAAAAGTACCAGGAAAATCTATATCCATTTTTACCTAGATGGATCACATGTCTAGATTCATGAGTTTTCTAAGAAATCAAAGACCTCTATTGCCTTAAATAAGTGAAAAGAAAAAAATGTAATAAGCCCTTGAATAATCTTAAGAGCTATATCTATCATGAAAATAGATATGTATGCATTTAATCATGTACTGTTTATAATAATTAATACAATTAATTTTTGAATCATTTAAAATCTCTTTATTGCGATATCTTTCAAGAATACAAATAAAATTTGAGAAAAATATACTGTGGGTGTGTACCTCCCCATTCAAACATACTAAGTTTAAGATTTTATATGTATATATGAGAAATATATAATATACATTAATATATGTATATATAAAGATATTTGTGCATATACAAGGATAAGAAGATATGGAATATATATAATATATGTATATATAAAATCATAAGCCATTACAAAGTTGAGGTCCCTTCTGTCCCCCTCTTTAAGGACTTTCTCTTTCTTCCCCACTTAGGAATTAACTCATCTAATAATTTTTTATTGTTTTTTTTCATGACTCCTTATTCACATGTAGGCGCTGATGTACAAAAAGGCAAATATTGGGATACTCCATTACATGCTGCTGCTCAACAATCCAGTACAGAAATTGTAAATTTACTATTAGAATTTGGAGCAGATATCAATGCCAAAAATACAGAGCTTCTGCGACCTATAGATGTATCTACATCTAACAGTATGGTAGAGAGAATACTGCTTCAACATGAAGGTAAGGACAGATGTGAATATGAACATGTATAAATACAAAAGTATATTTGCTCCAAACAAATGAAATTGAAAGACCTTTTGTTGGCATATAAAATAATAATGGCGTATAATTTGGAACATTTTTTTTGTGGAAGTAGAAATATTTCCAATATGTCTACAAAGAAGATAGCATGATGATTTTAATACTCTTTTTTCATCATATCTAAACCTTCATATTCCTCTAGTTAAATATATTCAGCTTGTTTTGACAATGCATAACATGTATTCTGATATAATATCTGTTAAATTATCATTTATATTTGGAAACATGCCCTGTTTTATAAGAGCATGTGCCTTCTGTAACATATTGAAGAAACATAATAAGGGATGATTTTAACACTTAAGACTCTTGTTCTAAACAGAATTTATTAAGTCTGGTTCAGAGACTATAATAAAGTTTACTTTAGCTTAAATATTAAAACTAACTTGAGGGAAAACATATAATTTTTAAATTTCACCTTTAGTATATAATGCTTCTTGTGGCTTTTGATTTATATCTCCTAAAAAAAGGCCAATTTCTTTCTTAGGCTCTTAATGCAATGATTGTTTCATAATATTGAAGATGATAATGTTTTAATGAACATGCATGGCATATATCTCAATTACAAGATCTCATAAGTAAAAGCAACATAAATGCTTACATAAAGTTTCCTAGTATGCTGGTCATACTATCTTTATTTCCTAATAAGCTTTGTAGTGTCTTATGGTTTTGTTTCATCTCTCTTGCCATATATAAAAACTCATTTGGATTTTAATTAACAGAAACGTTCATGTCTTTTTGTAGCTACCCCAAGTTCTCTCTGCCAACTCTGCCGACTCTGTATCCGAAATTGCATAGGAAGACCAAGATTACATCTTATCCCACAGCTCCAGTTGCCAACATTATTGCAGAATTTCTTGCAGTATCGATAAAGCAGTAAAATATCTCTAAATTCTTTGAAAATCAAAAATTTCTATTTAATTTGCATAATGAATATTTCATATTAAAAGTTGCTAAATCCAGGGTAAACGTTGAGTATGCGATCATCCAGGGAAGCAGTAAGATATCAATTTCCATTTTTAGTGTACTACTTAGTACTTTTGTTTTAGAAATTTTTACTGTGCTTTGAATTATAATACATTTAACATATCCATACATTTTAGCTATCCCAATATATCCATTTTTGATTTAGGGAAAAAATAAGAAATTTGCCATTTCATCCTCTATATTTCCAAAGTGGAGAAGAATAAATGTAGACTTTTACTAAAATTGTAATTATAAATTTCATATACTGTATTATATTCGAAAAGATCTGTGTTCTCCAAATAATGGTTTAACTTTAATTTTGGCTATGGTAATTGGTTATCTGTGTGTTTTTGATATTGACTCAAAACATGAATATAATTTAGAAAAGAGTAAATGTGCTTTCTGAAATAAAGATGATTCTCTTTCAGGAAATCTACTATGTTGAATGTGTACATGTCATTAGAGTGATTAATTCACAAAGTAAATTGCATTCCTCCCTGCAAAGAACTCACAAGTCATTTCTCCAGAGTAAATGGACCTGAATAAAAACTAATAAGACTAAAAGTTAACACTGGCTGGGCACGCCTGTAATTCCAGTGGTTCGGGAGGCTGAGGCAGGAGGAGGGTGAGTTCAAAGCCAGCCTCAGCAAAAGCAAGGAGCTAAGCATCTCAGTGAGACCCTGTCTCTAAATAAAATACAAAATAGGGCTGGGGATGTGGCTCAGTGGTTGAGTGCTCCCGAGTTCAGTACTCCCCCGCTCCAAAAAAAGTTAACACTTCTCTCTCACGCTAAGATCTTTAGATCATACTCCTGCTAACACTATTTGAAGACCAGAGTGGCTTCTTAAGGTCTCTCTTCAATGCTTTCATATTACTTCAGCCCTCTTCCATGTCAGAAGTTGTCAATACCCATCATACCTGAACTGGAGTAAATGCACTTTATAGCCAACTGATAAAGAGGACCTGGATTATATTCTAGGGATCATCATGTCAGACCAAGGATTAAAAAAAACCCTCAAGTTGTGGAGTTTTTAAGGAAAATTAAAATAGAGTATCACTTAGCATACTTAGAAACTGTAAAAAAGAAAATTTACCCTATATCTCATTCCTTGTACTTTTTGTAATTCTAGTTTCTAGTGTAGACCTTAATAGCAGCATCTCAGATTCATTTTACATGAAATAAGGGTTCAGTATACTGTACTTGCAAATGATAACAAAAAAAGAAGAGAGTGTTGTATAAAAGAATTTAATTACTAAGCTAGTCCTCTGCAAAGGGAATACTATTTTTATTCCCTTTTGTTTTAACTGTATTTGAGTACAAAAGGAAACATAATAAAATGTTGTGCATCCTTTCTAAGCCACACTAGAGTTGGACTTATTATAGATTTAGAAATAAGATAATAAAAATACTTAGAACTCTATAAAGGAAAATATTTTGATAAGTTTCATAGATTTATCAAATTTTGATTAAAGTGTTTTGTCCACTATTTTATTAACCCAGGACTTATTTTACTCTCCCCTTAGTTCCTGGCCAACTTAAAAATTATGGGGAAATAAACTCATACTGTATAATCAGAGTCACTAAGTTTACATTTTGGAAAAATATCAGCTGTAAATAAAAACATTTGTTAAGCTTTTAAAAAATATAACTGCAACTTGTTTGTTGAATAATATCTCCTATGTGGCTAGGTACCTTTAAATGTCTGTTTTACAGAAATCTCAGTCTAATATATTTGTACTGTCCTCATGAATAATGTGCCTTTAATGGATTTTTATTAAAGAATAACTCCCTTAAACATAATTAGATATTAAAGCTTTTTTTATAGAAACAGGTTTTTGCTAGATTTTTCCAAAACTAGCAGTAAAGTCTTAGATTGTAAAAGTAATATTACATACCTCTCTTCATGAGTCTTGTTTCAATAAGAGAAATAAATATAGGAAATTAAAATGACACTTAAATTTTTTCATTATATTTATGTCTTGTATGTTAACTTCAGTATGATTGTTTTATAAAATAAATACTCTAATTTAACTGTATCATACATTTGTTCACATCAAGTATGAGTATTAGCTCTTAGAAGAAAACACTTTTCTGTTCCAAATAGTATCTTATTTTACAATTGAAGGTAATGAAGTTAGGACTCCATGGCAAAAATATTTTTTCAAATCATTATATCATGGGCATTGAGGTAGAGTAGTGCAGAGAAAAAAAATCAGTATCTCAGGGGTCTTCTAATCCAAACATATTTCCCTGTCTCTTCTCTCTCTCTCTCTCTCTCTTTCTCTCTCTCTCTCTCTCTCTCTCTCTCACACACACACACACACACACACACACACACACACACACACACACGCACACATCCAAGGGTAAAACTCCACAAAGGCAAAGAACAAAAAAAATTACTATATATAGTAACTTACTATATATAGTATGAGATTAAAGATAAAATACAGTGAGGGGCTGGGGTTGTGGCTCAGCGATAGAGTGCTCGTCCAGCACTTGCAAGGTACTGGGTTCAATCCTCAGCACCACATACAAATAAATAAAATAAAGGTCCATCAGCAACTAATTTTTTTTTTTTTAAAAAAAGAAATGAAGTTTTGGACTTATCTATTGATGTTTTAATTTTCCATAATGCCACTGTACCCAACTAACTGTGGTTCTCTGTCCACAAAATAACTAAAAAATTATCCCCTTCCTCGCATATTACACTTTTTGTAACTCTATTTTTTCTTTTTTTGTCACTTATGATTAGCTTTTCTTAAGGCTTACCTTCTCACTTAAAAATACAAGTAAACATTTCAGGCTTTCAGGATCGATGGGAGAAAGTTTATTCAGAAGATTATGAGCTCCTCATCTGCTATGTGACCTTAAAAAGTCCTATCAGTGTCTGAGTCAGTGACCGGGTCTCATTTTTTTCAGCTTTTTAAATGATGAGTTTCTTTCCATTTTAATTCACATTGAAATTCAATGAGTCTTTTTAACAAGTAACTTTTTGGGGTTCAAACATGTTTTAAAATAATAATCTATGAGAAGTGTGGAGACCAACCTTGTATGTGACTGAGTCACACTCCCCAGCTGCGTGCTGAGGCGCTCAGTCGCAGAAATGTGGCAGAACTTTCCCCACCCTTCTTGGGTTTGAGGGATGGTGTCTTGCGCATGGGTGTGTCTTGCTACAGCCCCATGGGTGGAGCTATGCTCATCTGTTCCTTTGTAATATAACCCCTTGCCCTGTTTAGGATAGAATCTTCCATGGAAGTCCCTTGTGTGTGTCCCCTTCTCTTACTGTGCCCTTGGGTGTGGCCTACCCAGGTGTCAGTCAACCTGCTGACAGTGGACATCATGAAGATAGATTCAGCCCCCTGAAACCTGACCCCTCCTCGTTTGAATAGCTTCTCCTCAATAAAAGGGGTCAGCATGTGCTCTTGCTCTCTCTCTCTTCCTGTGGACTCTTAAGGTCAGAGGAGCCATCACAGTGACCCCAAAGAAAAAAGTATTTGTGTCTCTTGTGTGGTTATTTTGCACAGCCCAATTAGCCCAGTTTAACTGGAGTGACCCATGAACCTCTTAGTTGCGAGAACAGAAACCTGGCAGAGAAGCATGTATCATGAGTACAAATCAAAGGAACCACACGTTCACATTTGCAAAAGTCATCTCAGAGGGAACTCAGTTTTTATCTCCAGTTTTTTTCTCACCAAGTGAAGTCTGGCCATATCTGGAAAAACTCCTTTCAATCCAGTGCTTCTCAGGCTCTTCAGGTAAACATTCCAGATGAACTCAGCCTCTCTCCTCCTTTATTCCTGGGATGGTGTCTAAATTTCAGAAGAGTTCTGTGAAATCCATTTTCAGTGGGACAGTATCTGCCAGCATCTGTCCCCGCTGAGGGACTCAAATGTGTCAGGAGAGCGAGCATTTGGCAGGTGATAGGGGGGCAGGGATTTGGTCAGATCACAAAGTATCTTTACATTGATTTAAGAGAGCTCATAATATGAAAATCATAAAATAGAATCTCAGAACTCATATGCCTCCTCAGTCTTTGCAAATGTTGTTCTCTCTGTCTGGAACCCGCCCTTCTGAGACTTTATAACTACTGCATTTCCACCAACAGTTAGCTGAAAAAACAACTCTTGGAAGAAATAATTCAAACCCCTCAGTCTGCTAGTGTGTCCATCTGCTCTCTTTGGGACCCTGTGCAGACTTCTATTTACACTCTCAAGCAAAGTTTGGTTTGCTTGTCTGTCTTCCCCATGGACTGTGAGTTCACAGCAGGCTGTGCTGTGTCATATTCACACCTTCCTCCTCCTCAAAGACTCCTTTCCATCTCCTTCCCCTTGGAGAGTACTGTATGCCTGCCTCTTCAGTTAGCTTGAAACGCAAAAGCTGCTTCCTCCCTGCCCACTCGAGATGGGTGGAAAGATATAGCAACCTTTCTCCTAGAGTGGGAACCAGAGAAAGGTGAGGCTGAACTAATTCTACTGCTTCTTTAATCATTTAATCATGCTCTTTACTTCAAAGATTGAAGGAAAGTACTTCATTAACCAAGACTGCAACTCCGTCATTTGGAAAGGAACATCAGAACCATTAGTGATCCCTGACACCAGACCCTTCAGAACAGTTACCTTGGCGCTCTCCCTGACTCCCTGCCCACTGCATTCGATGTCAGATGGCCATCCCGCCCATACTGCATGAGCGGGTGACACATAATCAGACCAGGATGACCTTCCCAGGGATGCTCTTAAACAATAAATCCATCTCAGAGCTGTTCAGCTTCACTGAACAACATAACCTCTGTCTTGAAAATTTGTCAGTCCTATAGCCACTATCAAGTTCAGCACACGCAATGTGAACCATGCGCGATCCCCTCTACAGTTGACTGGCGTTTTTCCCCAAGAGCACACAACAGGCAGCGGGTGACTTGCAGTGCAGATTGAATGATGAGCAGAGCCAGTGAGAGTCTCGATCTAAGATGCCGAAAAAATATGCCCCAAACCAAAGCAATTGATCTGAGATATAGACCTTATGGGAATAAGATTGTAAGGAGCAGGGAAAGAGGGAGAGGGGCTAAGATTTATGCTTCTATATGGGGAAAAAAAAATTTACCTGAGAGCAGACTTTTCATGGACTTACCTACCTGTTCCACTATTCTGAAGCAACACAACCTGAGATCAATAGCCACAGCAACAATAAAAAGAATCTCAGAACTTCCAGAGCTCACTAGATGACAGAATATCTGAGCACTAAATACAAACTCTTTAGCATTTTATATGACATCCTATTCTCTTCAATTACTAGAAGTATTGTTAGTGATTCTCTCTTGAAACAAAAATAGATAACTAAAGCATGCAATCAAAATGAGTAGATAAGATAAAATCCTCCATATCCCCTCACAAAAGAAAATCCTGAATGGATACACCTGCTTAACTAGTTTTAAGTCA